TTCCATCCAGCTCTGATCTGTCCCTGAGATAGGAAGTACAACAGTCTGGCCAGGCTGGAAGCTGGAAGGGGCCTGAGAGGTCCTAATCCAAACTGCAAGGGGAAGAACTCAGAGTCGCAGCTCTGGATGGGGCAGCACTGGTAAGGCGCAGAGGAGAATTTTACCCAGGGTCTCTGACTCTGGTTCTGGGCATTTTTGGAAGTGACACTTCACGTGCCACCTACTAGGATTTTTTCTTGCTGCAGAGAATTGACAGGGTCAAGTACTCAAGAGTTAACACTGCAGGCTGGGGATTTAGCTCAGTGGTTTCGCTGCCTGCTGTGCAAGTGCAAGGACCTGAATTCGATTCCTGGTACCAAAAAAATAAAAAAGAGTTAACACTGTAGACTCATAACCAGTAAGAGTCAGAAGGAGCAAAGAGGCTACAGATTGCTAGACAGGATCTTTCTTCATTTTCCCTCCTTATTATAAAATCAGGCTAGAGGCCTTGTCTTTTTTATTCTTTAACTTACATTTGGAGAAAACCCAACCTTTTCCAAATCCATCTCAAATTGGTAAAATATAACCTAAAGGTGACATTTTGGGACAAATGTCAAGTTACCCATAATCATTTAGGATACACGACATGCCTTTAAGATCTCCCTTGTGTACTTTTGAAAAGAAGTACAGAGAGAAAAAAAAGGAGAGCGAGAGAGAGAGAGAGAGAGAGAGAGAGAGAGAGAGAGAGAGAGAGAGAGAGAGAAAGAAACAAGAATGCCAAATATTTAAGACAGAGGATTTGGGTTCAGGTCAGACTGGTTGCAAATTGGTGCAAGTTGTGCAATCTCTCTGGAACTCCCTTTCTGCTTGCATCTCTGTAGAGCAGGGGTAGTGATGACAGGAGGTAGATTAAACAAGATTTTAGCATGCAGCACAGTGCCCAGCACATGGAACGTGTTCCGAGGATGTTAGTAGTTACTGGTGTGGAGAAGGAGAAAGAAGCACAGTGTTTAACCATCTGCTTTGACATTGGGGGGTCAGATCATCCAACATAAAGAGTTAACTAGGCACCTAAGGAACTCTCACTAGAGCTGAAGAGTTTTAGGACTGCTAATCCTCATTGCCGCCATAGAGGAAGAACAGGGCAGGTGGCAGACAGGGTGGGAAGAGACTTTTGTTGTTGATTTGAATCTGAAACCACATAGATGCATTAAGCTTATTCAAAAAATCAAATTATATTTTCAAAAAGTCTTTTATCAGATGGTGGTGCACATCTGGAATCCCAGCACTTGGGAAGGCTGAGGCAGGAGATTCACAAATCCTTGCCCAGCCTAGGCCATTCAGGAATTTAGTGAGATCCTATCCCAAAATAAAAAAACCCAAAAATTTTAAAAGGGCTTCGTGAAGGGAAGGGGCCAGTAATGGGATGATCCAGATCTAACCCAGATCTAAGGATGATAATATCCCTTCACTCTGTACAGTCCTCCCCAGGAGGGTGTCAATCATGTAGGGCGGGCTTTGCTTCAGGATCGCAACTGTATTAACCTGACTTGCTTTCAAAGCACAAAGTAGTATTTTAATCTCAGCCATCCTCCCTTTGACCCTTTTTCTAAAGGTTCAGAACCAGTACGCACAGAACTGCATTACTCACCCGGTGGATTGCCTGCAAAAGCTGAGTTGATTTTATTGGCTAAATGAGGGCTTTGTTTGTATTATCTGTGCATTTATCAGTGCTCCCCCCCACCGCCCCGGGCTTTTAGGACATAGATAATTCTTGCTCAAAGCAGTTAAGACTCCTGGCTGGCACCTCATTTTCTGGAGTGCTGGGGAAGTGGGTGGGGCGACACATAACTCCATTCACAAATAATCAAGCGCTTGTTTTAAGATTAACCTATTGAAACCTCACATAACACTATTATCCGTAGGTACCACCAATCCCATTTTACAGGCAAAGAAACTGAACTGGGTGAAGTTAAGCAGCCCAAGGTCAGAGCTACCGGTAAACGGTTGGCTTAGTTTACCTATCTGTTGGCAGTGAACCCTGGGGGCCACACATGTAGAGGGGTACTTTGAAGGTGACTAAGGATCCTAAGCTGTGTAGTAGCTATAGCTGGGGAATCTCAAATCCTCTGCAGCTTCCGGTTTGGACGCCCTAACGACCAGGATGTAAATTTCTGCATTGGCCCGGGGCAATTGACTTCCTCCTTGAGCCTGATTCCTTATCTGCTCAGGTTCCTTATCTGCCCCAGGGAGGAGCTAGATGAAAAGCCCTCTCCTCCTGCGTTAGGCATTAGCGAGAGTGGGTGTGTGTTGGGGGAGGGGGACGCGCTGCTTTCCCCAAGTCCCTGTACGAAACAGGGTCTAAGCCAATTCCCTTTCAGGAGGTCAGGCCCCTGGGCAGAGGTGGCGCTCAAACTGGCTGCTCCTCTGCCACTGGGAAAGCACAGCTCGGGCCACCGCCCCGCTGCCGGGAGTTGGAGGGTTGGGTCTTTCTCCCCTAAGGGAGTTAGAGACGAGGGTGTGCGCGCAGAAGGGCTGCTGGGAGTGACAGCTGAGTCACACCCCGAAGGTCCAGCAGGAATTAGTGTTAGCTGGCAGGGGAAGGGAGCGGATCATGCACCCTACCAACAAAGAAAGCTTGCAGCGCACGAGGAGCGATGCAGAAGTCCGCAGAGGCGAAACCACGCAGGGCTTCGGATGCGCTTTATTCTAAGGGAACGGGGAGGGCTTGGGGGATTAAAGGTGAGCAATCAGGAGTGGCAGAAAGACCCTCGGAGGCTGCTGAAGATGACCGAGGATCTGAAGCGACCCTACGCGCTGTCCCTCGGCTTTCTTTGATTTGGGCCAGGGCTCGGTCATAGGCTGGGCGCCGGCCAGACCCTCCTTGAGCGAAGTAGTGCGGCGCCCCCTCCTCTGTCGGGGGCTCTCAGGTCCAGGCGCCCCAGAATTGGCAGGGCTAGGCGGGAGGGCTTCCTCCTGCATAAGATGAAAAGCCGGTACCCCTCAAAACACACAAACCCCTCCTCGGCCGCCGAGGGCTGCAGCCTCCTCCGCCCATGACCTCATGCTCTAAGCTCCCGTATCGCCTTCCCCCGCCCTGTCCACACCCCGAAGCCGAGTGGGGGCGGGGTGGAGTAGGGGACAGCGGCGATCTGGAGCGCCGGAGCAGTTTACTCATCCTGCGCGAGATTTGGGGGTAAGGGGCACAACGATCCTACACTCTGAAAACAGGATGGTGTAACTTTTCCTCGTGCAAAAAAAAAAAAAGAAAAAAAAGAAAACCCCCGAAACCCCGCTGCTTTTCTTGGGATCGACGCCTAGAGACTAGCTCAACTCTTGGGCTCCCTTTGGGAGACGTAGGGGTCGCGGGCTGGGCTCCAGGCCCTCGCCCTGGGAGGGACCTGGGCGCTGTCCGGCTCCCCGCGCCACTGGGGTTCGAACCCCGGCTGGCCTGCCTCGCAGCGCGCAGCCCTGCCCCCCGGCTCGCAGCTGCTCTCCGTTTGGGTGCAGCGGTTTCCCCCGCAGAGCAGGAGGAGGAGACAGCGCGAGGGAGCGACTCCGGCTCGGGTTTCCGCACCAATGCCGAGCAGCCCCGGGCGGCCCCCGGCTGCCGTCCCTCCTCCCCGCACCACGTCCCACAGTCATGGCGCGCTGGCGGGCGGGCGGGCGGGCGGCGAGGAGGGGCGGGCGCGCGGCCGCACCCGCGCCCCCTCCCCGGGTCCTCTCCCCGCTGCCAGCCCGGGCCCTCTCCTAGGCAACCTCCCTCCCCGGCCCGAGCGCCTCGGAGGCGCAGCCCCCTCCTCGGAGCTCCGCGGACCCCTCCCCGCCCCCACGGGGCGGAGGGATGGAGCGCACGCCTCGAGAACCCCGGCCCTTCCCGGAGCCCCAGGCCGGCCCAGCCCACCGAGGCCGGGTGTGGTGGGGGCAGAAGCAGCCCGTCCCCGCACAGCCTGCCTGGCCCTTGGCATCTTTGGAAACCCTTCCAAAATAAAGAAATGAAAGGAAGGAAGGAAGGAAGGAAGGAAGGAAGGAAAGAAAAAGAAAGAAAGAAAGAAAGAAAGAAAGAAAGAAAGAAAGAAAGAAAGAAAGAAAAAGATCCCCCCAACCCCCAGTCTTTAGATTGCAACGCGCGGTACAATAACCCGGGCGGCCACGCAGGAAGCAATCCTGCACGGGTCCTGGTGTAAGGCGGCAGCTTCCCGGCCACGCTGCCTTCTCCGGGGCCTCGATTTACCGGCCACGCCGGAGAGTCCGCTGAGCCCAAGACTGACAGGTCCCGCCCGGGGCCGTCACTGGGCCCTCGTCCCATCCTCTTCCAGGGGCTCGCCAGCCTACAAAAGGTGCAACCTCACGCGCACGTAGAGCGCACACATGCACCGCCGGGAGGGCTGCGAACAATGCGCCGGGCGTCCCGCGCCCGCCGGAGCGCGGCGCGCTGGGGGACAAGGGACGGGGGACGGCGGACGGGGGACGCGGGCGGGGGCCTCGCGCAGGACCCGCGGGCTGCAAGCGAAGCTGGACACCTTACTTCCTCCTTCCCCGCCCGCGGCCAGCCCGGCTTTGCGGAGGGATATCTCACCCCTCCTCTGTCCCTCTCCTCCCTTCGCCCGCCTCCCCCCTTTTTTGCTCTTGCTCCCCCCGCCCCACCTCACCCCGCCTTTCTCCTTTTGCAAGAAAATAATTTGACAGTCGATTTGCTGACAGGGGAAGAATTTGCATCCTGGATTAAAAAAAAAAAAGGCCGAGAGGAGCTTGGGAACGGTTGCTAGGGGTGGGTAATGGTGAAGAAGGAGGGGGTACCGAGGATCGGCTGAGGGAGGGGGCGAGGGTGGGGAGCCATGCAAAAGGTAAGGCCAGGTTGCCGCGGCTCGGCCCCGTGTGGGCTGCGGCCGGGGGAGGGGCGAGAGATGCATATGTATTTCGGGCTCCCCAGCACACCCCCTTCCCTCCCAGCGATGGCTGAGGCGGTGCATGCAGACGGGGAGTAAGTTTCCTGAAGGGGCGGGCGGCTGCACGCGCGCAGCCCGGCGCTGCGAATTTGCACCCGGGAGGGAGAGTGGTGGATGCGGAGAGTTTAGAGTTGCTGGCGGAGGGCAGGAGGGGAGCCGGGCGGGGAACGGGGGCTGGCGGGCGCTATAGCTGGGAGTAAGTTTCCAGGATCGGGAGAGCCTGCACGCTAGCTCGCTAGTAAGTTTCTGGAGGGGGAGGGCGTGTGGGGAGCGGCAGAGGGAGGGGTGCATGCATATAGAAGGGGGAGGGGGGAGCAGATTTCCTGCGGGGAGACTGAATGCATATGGAGAGATTTCCTGGAGGGAGGGTGGAGGCGTAGACGGGCCGAGTAAGTTTCTTGCAGGGGTGGTGGCGGAGGTGGTGGGTGGGTGCTTTGCAAACCCTGCGCTTCCCACTGGGAGAGGGGGAGCACGCTGTTGGGGGTGGGGTGGGGTGCGAGGGGCCAGGTTCCCTGCTGGGGAGAGGGGCTTGCATCTGGGGAGTATGTTTCCTGGCGGAGCGATATTTGTTTACTGGCTGAGGGCAGTACTGGGAGTGAGTAGCTCTGCCAGAAGGCGGCTGACATAAATTAATATTGAAATTACTCCATCAGCCCCACCGGCCCCCTGTCGCACCCCCCAAGCGGAGACTGGGCTTCCTGTCTTTTTGCCATGCACTTGTTGCAGAAGCAGCCAAGGTAGGCAAGAAGCTTATTACGTTTCATTTTTAAAAAATTAGTTGGGGGGATGCTCTGGGAGAAGACGGGGTGGGGAGGGAAGCGTGGGGTAATCGGGCAAGACAAGTCTCCCGCCTCCCCTTCACTTTCCGGGTGTGAGCTGGGCCTTCTCCCTGCTTCCCTTCTTCCCGGTTCCCTCTCAGGGCTGCAGAGCATCACAGCCCAGGGAGAGGGGGAGGTGGGCGCTGTAGTTGGCCACCACGCCTGCAAGGGTGCTGTGGAAGACTGGGACGTTATAAAGCCTTCATTCTTCCAGCCAAGAAACCGCAGGACCCTGGGGATGTGCCTTTTGGGGTTTTGACATGATGCATGTGTACATGTGTGTATGCCTGCAGGCTCTGTGGGGGCTGGGCGCTCCCTCGAAGTTAGTGTGGCCCCCCGGGTGGGAGAACATAAAAGGGGGCGAACTTGCCCCTTCACTCCCCAACTTCGCTTTGGGAGACTGGGAAGTTACCGCCGGTGGTCTGAAGAAATAGATTTTGCAAACAAAACAAAACCACTCATTCACCGGGGAGGCGGAGAGCACCTGGCCCGCAGCCTCTGGCCAGCGCTGGGCCGGAGCATGTGCGCCTGCCATCCTTGGGTTCAAAAAACCCTCTGGTTCTTCTGTGTCCCTTCCGCCGGCCCGATGGAGCCAGCTTCGTGGAAACTCTGCCCCAGACGAGTCGCTGCTTGGCAAGAGAGCACATTGAAGCCCTTGCTAACAGCGTGGCCTGGGCTGTCTTGGGAGTGGTTCAGGTTTAGGAACGACCGCTCCTAGCTTGGCTGGAGCAGGCCCTGGAGGCGAGCTTTAAGAGAGGGGTTTTAAGTTGTTCCAGTTGGTGCCAACCTTCTGCATCTTCAGCCTTTCAAGGAAGGGGTTTGTTGAGGGAAAGTGTGGTTTTGCTGCCCACTGGAAGGCTAAGGAGCGTGCCCAGTCAGCATTTAACCAGTTAACCAGCAGCCTCTGCCTCTCCTGGCCTCTGATTTCTTGGCCTTCAGCCTGCTGGTTTTCTGCAGAAGGGTTGTAGGTCTTGGCTGTCAGGGTGCCTTGATGGTGCTGGGAGTTTAACTTTGCCAGGATAATTTTAGCACCAGGAGGTCCAGCCTGGAGATGTTCAGTAGGGTTAGGGAGTAAACACCAGTGGGGTTAACTAGAGTTGGTTAAGCTTTCTCCAGTTCTGTAAGGGGGGAAAATGGGTTAAAAAAAAAAATCTACGCGTTTCTAATGCACAGTGCTTTTCTTTCTTTTCTTTCTCTCTCTTTCTTTCTTTCTTTCTTTCTTTCTTTCTTTCATCTTTCTTTCCTTCCTGTCATCAGATTTCCAGATTGAGGGGTGATATTTGGCAGTTTGAGAGTTGATTTAGTGGGAATTAAATATTATTGATACTTATCAAATGTTCCTACCTAGGCGTTAGTTAAACAAATTAGCTATTATTTTTAACCATTGAAAATCGGAGTCTCCTTGGTACATATGCTGGGAGGACAAACAGTATCTTTATGTGTGTTTATCCCAGGGTGGAATTATTTACATGCCTAGCCTCGGAGCTAAGAGCTGTCATTCAGCTTTTCTCCTTACATTTATGAGATTTATTTTATTGTCTTGCTTTGGTCATTAATCAAGTCACAGTGGCTTTTTTTTCCCTCCTTTCTACCGAGAATGTTCTTGTGGTAATAAAGGTTTGAAGGCCCATGAATCATAATTCATTCTTTTAAAATATTGTGATTGTCAGGATTTGATTTATAGGAATTGATCCCTGGCATGACACACCTCTCCGGGGCCCCACCCTTGTAGGCATGTCCGTTTTTGCCAGCGGATTGTGTAGAAGCTGGCTCGATGTGTCAGAGAGTGATTCTCTTAGGCTTTAGAAGCATTGTGAAGATGAATTCGCCAGGTTCCATGGTGAACATGGGTCTTCACAGCTTGGTAAGCAGGCTTCCACATAGCAGGCATGTGTTACCATCACATCGTGTTGATGCGAGCTCGCTGTGAAAACAGTTGTTCTGTGAACTGTGTGGAAAGTACTCAGTTTTGCCTCCTTCACTCACTTGGGCTTGTGGGTTTTTGTTGAGTTAGGAGCTTAAACTGTAAGGAGTGGACAGACTCATTGCTGCTTATATAATAAAATGTGTGGTCACAAAAACAAAGCTTATTTATAATTTTCTTTCCCTCCTCCTTGGATGGGTGGTTTAGTCCTACTAACCAGAAGCACTGGTTTTGGGGAAAGTACAAGGATTCTCCATAAAGTTGATCACTAAAGAAGTGTTAAATTGTCTTATATGCAGGAGTCACTTTAAGTCCACAATGTTTGTAAAGTGACAAAGACTTTTTAAGGTGGTTTGATACTCAAGGCAGGGGAAACTGTCACTAAAAAGATAAGTGGGGAGGGTTCCAATTTCTAGCCATTTCTAGGCTTCAGATTTTTTTTATCTTAAACATGCATGGTTGGACTTGAGTTCCCTTCCCTCGGAAATTGTGCGTCTTGCGGAGCAAGGTCCCAGAGGTCTTGAGTGTCTTCCTGGGCCAACGGCCAAATTGCTTCATTGACTTGGGTGAGTTGATTAACTTCTGTTTTTATCTTTTCTTGGACAAAGAGGATACCTTTGCATTCCAAAAGGGACTCTTAAGCGGCCTGGTAATCTTGAGTGTCAGACACCAGGAATTACTGGTGAAAGTGCCACTGTTTTGGGAAAAAATTCCCAGTTATACCAGCAAGTGAGAGTGTGTGTGTATGTGTGTGTGTGTATAATCCCGGGCACCAGAAATCAGTTCAGTTCATCTTGGAAGTTTTCCTTTCCAGCCAGCTGGCTAACTGGTCTAATGCTTGGTCAAGTGTCAAGTTAAATGAGCTGTTATTTCCAGGCACAGGTAGCTCTGGGGAGGTAAGCCGGGGAGGACCCGAAAACCCAGTGTGGCCTTACCTACTTTCTGCAGAGACTTCATCTGTGGGTAATTGGGGTTTGGCTGAGTGGTTGTGATGGGGTTCAATAGCAATATTGTGTTTCTCACTTTTGGGATACTGTGTATTTTACCATGGGCATTTTGGGGGAAAGCTCTTGATGTTTTTATTGACTTTGGACATTGATATAGGAAGTAAGGGTCCAGACTAGTGACTCAGGCCCCAGGCTGTATAGGCGCGAGTTGATTGTTCTGCTCCAAGAGCAGCTCATTTTATTTCTGACCTTATAAAACCATGTGACGGGAGGGGATTAGAATCTGCTGGGATCTTGTGGATTAATGATAGTTCTGGATTTGTATATTGGAGGAAAACCAGTGAACTAGAGGAGAGGCTAAAACATACTTGATTTCTTTTACAGGCCGGAGACAAGAACAGCTGGGTTGTGGTTATTGCCTTGCTTTTTGACAAAGGTGCTGTGCCATTTTTAATAAATAGGATGGTCTTCATACAACTCTCTTAGTAAATGTTTTCTTCCCGGTTAAAAAAATACTCAGTGAAAAGCCTCAGTGATATTTTCTAGGAATTTTAAATTCTCAGAGTAGCTGCTCATAGCCAGGCATGGTGGTACATGCCAGTAATCCTAGCACTCAGGAGGCTGAGGCAGTAGGATCACCTGGAGTCCGAGGCCAGCTTGGGCTACATAGTGAGTTCAAGGCCAGGCTGAACTACCAAGTGAGACCCTGTCTTAAACAGACAAATAAATAAGAGAGAGTAGCTGCTGATAGTAATTTGGATTTACTTAGGAAGTGGGTAATTTTTGGATTTATTTTTTCTCACAAAGACAATAAGATGGGAGTGGGTTGGGATATATGTGTAGCTATTAGGCAGTTGGTTTAGCAACAATAAAAAAAAAAAGAATTTTTTGAAAGTGGAGGAAGAGATAAAGAACCCGTGTGCCAAAGTGACAGTGACACTTGTGGGGTCATAGAACGAGGTAAGAGAATTTTCATGATATAAGAAGCACTGGTTTAATTACAAAAAGGAAATAAAAGAATCTCTAGTTTATTCATTCATACAATGGCAGCTGCTTTTTGAGCACCTCCTGTTTGCCTGTCACTATGTGAAGGGCTGGGAATCTGGTGATGATGAAACTTAGGCTGTCCTGCCTGACCCCTGAGTCAACTCCACACAGTTCAGAGTCAGACTCGGAGAGGAGGGTGTATTGCAAAGTGTGATTAATACTCTGCCAAAGCCACCAGGAGCCATGGGCCTTTCCTAGGAATGGGGTGGGAGGAGTCGGAGCACATCAGAGAGCAGAGGCTGAGGCAGCACAGCTCTGGCTTTGGGGGAAATGAAGCACTGAATGGGCATGTAGACAATCATACTGTGGACCTCGGAAAGGCCTGGATATCATGTGCAGAGCAGTGGGAAGCCACTGGAAGTGCACAGTGGGAAGCGCCAGGCTCTAACTCACATTTATGGTGCTACTGGGGATTGAACCCAGGACCTTGCACATGTTGGGCAAGTGCTCTACCGCTGAGCTAGATCTCCAGCCCTCTAACTCACATGCAAAGGAGACAGCATCGGTGGAAGAAAGTGGAGGGGGCAGGAGTGTAGTTGAGGGACGCAGGAAAGAGTTGGGGAGAAAGAGTTGGGGAGCAGGTGGAGGAGGAGCAGGAGAGGGAGCATGCAGAGGAGCGGCCCAGGGAGAGGTTGGCTGCTGGAGGTAAAATGGACAGGGCTTGCAGTTGGGTTGGCTGGGGTGCAGGGAAAGGGAATGTAGGATGACTCCCAAGTTTCTGGTGTGAGCAGTTTTGGGTAGAGGGTGTTGCTCTTTGTTGAGAGGGAGGAAGAGTGGGACAAGGAGGGGCACAATCAAGCTATTTTCGTTTGGGCACTAGTAGATTTGAAATGGCCATAGATGCGAAATGGAGCTGTCAAGGCCGTAGCCTCATGTAGCGTCTGGTTCCAAAGGATTGGGCAACCAGGCAGGAGATAAAAATGCGGGCCCTGGCTGGGCGTGGTGGTATATGCTTCTAATTCCAGCACTTTGGGGGGCTGGGGCAGGAGGATCACAAGTAC